ACACTATTTTAATAATCATTAATAAAACAAATAAGAGCAGCAGTTAACATTTATTACTTACGATGTGCCAGGCACTGTACTAAGCATTTTACATGCAGTCTCATTTAAGCCTCATAACAACCTCTGAGGAAATGATACAGATACTGACGTTCAGAGTTTGAGTGCTCTGCCTACGGTCACAAGGGTGGAGGCAGCAAGTCTGAACCTAGAGTCCATCCATGCTCTTAACCACTGCTCTATGCTGTACTGCAGTTACATGTAAATTTTGACAGACACCAATGACTCTCATAAAGGCTACACCCACACACACACACAGAGGAAATCAAGTGTCCCTTCTCCCCAACAGTTGCCAACACTGAATATTATCAATCTTTTTAATTTCTGTCAATTAATTGGGGAAAAAAAGAGTTAGTTTGTTGTTTTAATAAGGTTGACCATCTCTTAATTTATTCATTGGTCATTTGTATTTTTCTTCTATATCTTTCTTCCTTTGTCCATTTTGAGTTAAATATTTATCATATTGATTTGTGGGCAGTCATCTATACTAACATCTGGAGTATAAACAAATAAATAAATGTGGACAATTAGCTAATCTTAAAAAAAATTAAATCACTACTTCATACTTCATACTAAAGCGAATTCCAGATGGATTAAAAATAATGCAATCATAAAAGCATAATTCTTTCTTATGGCAATCTGTCATTTTTTATTTATATTAATTTAATAAAGTTGTCTATTTATGTTGAGGAAAAAGTAATTCAAATAGGCAGAACGGTGCATTACAGACTACACTAGAAAACTAGTATAAGAGGATTGTGACAAATGTATGTCACTGAAAGCAACTGAAAGTAACCATCTTTGGAAGTTATAAACATGGTAATTTATTAAGTGAAAAAAGCAAGTTACAAAATAATACCTATGATTCCATTTTTATGAAACCAAATATATTAAACATTAGCTGCATTAGAAAGCTATATTAAATATTAACAAACATCATTTCTAGGTGGCTGGAGTTTGTAACAGAAAAATTAAATACTATATTAAAAAATAATTGCTTTTGAAGATATTCCTTCTAAACAGACATAAAGATGGCTAAGCTTCTGGAAAGAAGGGACTGTGACTCCTTGATTTTTGTATCCTTCAAGTGCACAGTGCCCTGTACAGAAGTCACCCAAGAAACCTTTGTTGAATGAATGAAATGGGGAACATAGGATTCACAAACACACTATCTGTAACAGATATTGTTACAATACTCAAATTCAAAAACTTTGCAGGAGAATCACATTTGTTCCCCAAGTAATATTTCACTTATAACTTTAGTTTACAATTAGGAAATGTTATGTTTTTAACAAACAAGAAAGAAATGCAAGACTCTTAATGTGCAGGAGCTGAAAGGGGATGGGGTGGAGGTGATATGAGAAAGAAATCTTACAGATATTTTATTTTGGAAATAACTTATGGGAAATACAAAAGCTCATACTGAATTCTCTCAGACACAAAGACTATCTTTGATTTATGAAGTACATTACTCATACTTATTGAGTATCTATTATGGCCATATGGGCAAGGTTCTGTGTATAAAACGGACACAAATATTCATAAGGACCTTATGACTTTAAACACATACACTCTGTTCATGACATCTCAATCCTATTGTAAACTGTACTAAATCATACCATAAAACAATAATAATTAAACCAATGTGTACAGGCACGGGAAGAGACAAATGGATCAATGAAACAGAAATATTCTAAAAATAAACCTATGTTTTATGTAAATTAAGTATATGACAAAGATAGCATTTCCAAACAGTGGGGAAAGGATGGACTACTTAATGAATAGTACTGGGACAACTGGCTATCCAAACAGCAAAAGAAGTTCAATTTCTACCACCATACGTGTAAATACATTCCAGGTGGATTAAAGAGCTAAACATTAAAAACAGAAGAAAACATAGGAGGATATTTAATTAATCTTGGGATAAGGAAGGTTTCTTAAAGTAGACACAAAATGCAGAAGCCACATGGAAAATATTGATGAATTTGAAATGATAATTTAAAATTTCTGCTCAAGGGGCCAGCCCGGTGGCTTAGAGGTTAAGTGCGCGCGCTCCGCTGCTGGCGGCCCGGGGTTCTGATCCCGGGCGTGCACCCACGCACCGCTTCTCCGGCCATGCTGTGGCCGCGTCCCATGTACAGCAACTAGAAGGATGTGCATCATGACATACAACTATCTACTGGGGCTTTGGGGGGAAAAAATTAAAATTTCTGCTCAACAAAAAAAGGAGACAAGCAATACATTGAGAGAAAATATTTGCAACATACATAACAGGCAAAGGATTGACATTAAAATAAAGAACACCTAAGAAGCAATAAGAAAAATAAACAATTCAATAGTGAAGTGAATAAAAACAAAATTAATAAGAAGAAAAAGAAATGGCCAGACACAGAATATTTTGCAACTTCTCTAATAACAACAATAAAAAAGGCTAATACATAACGCTTACTAGACATCAGGTGCCTTTTGAAATGCTTTAGATATCAACTCATTTAATTTTCACAACAACTCTATGAGATAAGTACTATTTTTATCTCCACTTACAACTGAGGAAATTGAGGCAGAGGAAGTTGCTCAGGGACACACAACCAGGAGGGCACGGCTGGGATTCCCACGCAGGCGGTATAGCTCTACAATTCAGTATAGCCCGTAACCACTATGTTACATTACCTCTCCTGGGATTTAGGGATCCAGGGAAATACAAATTAAAACAACATATCATTTGTTGCCCAAATTGGCAAAAATAAAGAAGACTGATATAGTCAATACCGAAAATGAGTATTGTCAACACTGTTGGTAGGAGAATATAACAGTGCTTTCTTTTTTGTAGCATAAACTCTGCTTAAAACAGATACTCTGAAAGAAAGTTCAGAAAAACAATTTACCCAAAAAAAGGTGCCAAATAGGTAGTTTCTTACTAAAACATTTGTTTTATTTTTTCCCTGAAGGTAGCAGCAAATCCTAGAACTCCTTCCCTTTTTCCTCTTAATCCTCAGATGCCAATAAGGGCTACCAGAGGATAAGCATTCCACTGCTCCCACGCTAAATTTTTTATGTGGCAGCTTCTCCTGTGATTTAATCAGCTCAGGTCAAACTTTCCCTGAAAGCCTGTTTCTTGAGGCACTACCGTCATCACTGAATTGGTTAATTCACCTTCCCTTCTGGTGGGCTGACATAGGCTCTGCTTTCTACTCTTTTCCATATTTGTCCCTTAGCCTCTTTCTCAACAGGTTCAAGAGCCAAAGGCAAGAAGCTCAAACTTTCCCTTTCTGCCTTGTTCAAAAGCCATTAAAAAGACCCCTTCTTGTTTTCAGCAATATGTTAATTCCAATCAGACAAAAACTTCTGAAATCGCTCAGTTCTCCATAGTCCCTGGTTTACTGTCCACAGCATACATGTTAAGTAACAATATAAATTACTTAAGGGAAAAATAAAATCCATGTCACAGCTTTTCTCACACTTCAGCCATCCCTATCTACTTATAGACCCATTATGAAGAGAAACATAGAAAGGTACAGGGAGCTATAAAAGAGGCTGTCACTAAACTTCACTGCATAAAAGTACTAAAAGTTTACCATGAACGGCAGTACGCAAAGGTGATAATGTCTTCCTTTTTTTTAAAAAAAAAAAAAAGCATAGCAGGTCAGCTTCCATTTGAAAAATTTCATTTGTACATCCCAAACTTCCTGGAACTTTTTTGCCTGTTGTGTTCTAAAACTGACTACAAGTTGGTGTCTGATTATGACAAAGCAATGAAAATGTGCAGGGGTGAAATGGGCATTGTGAACACACACAGGAGCTCAGAGAACAGTGCTTTACTAAACCTCCAGGGGAGGAGCCCTAAAGTGACGACTACATTTTCATTGAGAGAGGAACTGAAGAATGTTCCATATTGTAGGCAGAGCATGTAAGAAGAGATTAAGGTCGGCAAGAAAATGTAAAATTGGAATGTATAAGATTACATTTTTTTCATCCGCAGCATACCGTTACAGATTAACACTCCATTAAAACACAAAGCTTCCTCACTACATTAAGAGGGTTGCACAAGAGGCACCACACAGGCTTGAGGCAATGATTTCTATATGCTACTATATCCTACCATGTCCCCAATGTAATCAAATAATTGCTGGACAGCTCCCCCATGTCTATGCGTTAACCACACGTGAGCACGCAAAGCTCCCTTTGCCAGGAGTCCCAGGGCAAAACCAAGACACCTCAAGGCATCTCAGCCACAAGTTTAGGGTCCTCATTTGGTGGAAAGAAAACTGAGGATCTGAGTGGAGAAGAAGTGACCGTCCAATGCCTCAAAAGGCCAAGGCAGAGTTACATCTCGGACTTCTCTCTCCCCACCTTGCTCTGCTCCAGCCCTGGAAGGAGCCACAAGTGAGGAAGAGAAGTTGCAGAAACACGGCGGGGGTGGGGTGGGGGGTGGTATGGGATGCGGGCACCCGAGAGAGTTTAACACAAGCATTTGCACTTGTCCCACACAAGGTCACTCGCTCCAAGTCACTTTTCCCTGCTCCCGCCGGGGGCTTCCCGCCCAAGAGGCTGCTGGGCTTCGAGGCCAGCCCACCGCGCCCCCTCGGCCCTTCCCCGTGGGCCGCAGCCCCTTCCCGGCTTCTGGGTGCGGGCCGGAGTTCGGACGCAAGCTGGCCTCCCTACCACCCGTTTCCCACGCCCGGCGCCTCTCCCCGACCGATTCTGGGGCTCCTCCGCCTGCACCCCCCGGCGCTCCCGTCAACGACCCCTTCCTCCCTCAGGACGCCCCTTTCCCCACCTCCAGAGCCGGTCCCGCCGGGGGCCCGGGACGCCGCTCCTGCCCTCTCCTCCCGCCGCCCTCTCCTCGGGCGCCCACCTGGCGCGGCCCCCGCCCCCGGCCCGTCTCCTCAGCCAGCGGCCACCTCCCAAGTCCTCCCGGCCCCGCCCCGCTCCCAGGCGGATACAGTTTGAAGCCCCTCAGGATCTCCCTGGCCCGGTCGTCCTTGGCTGACATGATGCGGCGACCGCCGCCCGCGGCTCTCCCACGCTGGCCCGGAGGAGCCTCGTAGACAGTGACCAGGAGCCGAGGACTGAGCTGCAGCCGGGCCTGGAGACCTCCGGCGAGCAGCGGCAGCGGCCAGACCCGGACCGGCCTCTCTCTCCCCTCAGCTCCCGCTCCTGATCCCTTCTCCTTCCCTCTAGCCTCGGAGCGCCCGCCCCGAAGCCAATGGAAAGCCCGCCTCGGCGATTGGCATCCTGAATAGCCAATAGAAACACTCAGCGGCTTCAAGGGGGCACGATGAGCGTCAATGGGAAGGGCCCTCCCGGGGAAGTCCCGTAGGACAAATTTTTTTTTTTTTTTTTCATTCGGTGCTGTTGCCTAGAGTTTTCCCCAGTGGAGGATTTTAGATCTGCAGAGGCTCGAGGGGCCTGCTCCCGCTGCTCGGCACACAAGGGCTCTGAGATGACAGCGGGTTGCACCGTGAGATGTGGCGGAGACTACATTTCCCAGAATCCCAGGGGACCACAGATCCCAGCAAGCAACAAAGAGGCCCAGGGACTACAAATCCCAGCATTCCCTGCACCCTAGTCCTCTGTAACTTGGACTCCAGTGTGCCGCGCAGTGTGCGCAAATTCATAAACCGTGCCTCAGGTTTGGTAGTTTCTGAATCCGGAGACTTGAAACCAGGCGGCAAGACCCTCTTCACCCTCAAAAGAAGATGACAGCCCACAGAGAGGTAACTTTTGTTTACATGGAACTCAGAAATCTCCTGCAAATCATGGTAAGGCTGCAAACAACAAACAGAAACACTGATTAAACCATGAAAGATAATAAGACAAAATGACTCCTTCAAACCTTGCTTGTTTGTTGGTCTGGAGCGCCTTTTACGTTTTTTGCAGGGGTTTCTGGTGTGCTCCTGCGTTGGACCGGGAGAGATATCGATAGTGTACTCAGAATATCAGTATAGGAAGGGACTTTAGATAATTTGCTAATCCAACCCCTGTTGTTTTACATATGAGGAAACTGAGACCCAGAGAGGCAAGGAGATTGTCCACGGGTCACAGCAAGTTGGGGCAGAGTTAGAATTCGGCCCTAAGTTTCCTGACACGCTCTGGGCTCTTTGCACCACACTAGGGTGGCGATATTTTTAGCAGCTTGGCTATGTGGTTATTCTTCTCCCTGGTGAAGTTTCCCCATCGGGGTTGAAACACCCAGAGGTTAGGTAAGCATTTATTTGGTGGATTTCCTCCAAATGAAGGAGTGTGATGTTTATCTTCAGTCTAGGTAGGACTTGGTGTTTTGCTTTGTTCTTTGTTTGTTTGTTGCTCAACGTGACATTTAACGTGATTTCAGGAACTGGGTAAAATTGTAGTGTAAGCTCAAGTTTCCTGGAAGATCTCCTGTCTGTTTTCCTAGCTTTCCTTCCTCTTCCTGTCCCTCTCTCACCCATCTGGGCACTCACCCAATTTTTCCTTCCATGTAATTCCACAAACAGCTTTTTCAGCTTTTGTTATTTGCCAGGCTTTCTATAAAAGCTGAAAGGCATGGTCATTGCCACCAGGAAGATAACCATCTAGTTAGCAAAATAAGGAGACTCCACTGAGATTCAAGATGGACTGTGATAAATGGCATAAAAGAAAGGACATCAGAATGCTATAGAGGCTCTGATGGAGAGATGTATTCCATTTATTGATGGAGGAGGTCGCATTTGAACTTGAAGGATGCACAGGATTTTTTTTCTATGTTAAAAAATTTTATCTTTACATTTTTTTGTGTGTGTGTGAGGAAGACTAGCCCTGAGCTAACATCCCGATGCCAATCCTCCTCTTTTTTGCTGAGGAAGATAGGCCCTGGGCTACCATCCATGCCCATTTTCCTCTACTTTATATGGGATACTGCCACAGCATGGCTTGACAAGTGGTGCATCGTTGTGCACCCCGGATCCGAACCTGCGAACCCCGGGCCACCAAAGCGGAGTGCATGCACTTAACCGCTGTGCCACCGGGCCAGCCCCATCTTTATATTTTTTTGTTAATGAGGTATAACACATACAGTAAGGGCACAATTTTTGCATATGTATACACCTGTGTCACCACCCCCCAAATCAAGATATAGAATATTTCCAGCACCCCTTGTGCCCCTTTCCAATCAGTACTTCATCGTCCCATCCCAGTAACCATTCTTCTGACTTCTGTTACCATACATCAGTTTTGTCTGTTCTTGAATTTCATTTAAATGTAATCATACAATATGTACAGTATGTCTGGCTTTTTTCATTCATCAATATTTTTGTGAAATTCATCCATGTTGTATGTAGCAGTAGCTTGTTTTTCTTTAAATTCGTGAGTAGTATTCCATTGTCTGTATATAGCACTGTTGATCTATTCTACTGTTGATGGGCATTTAGGTAATCAGTTATCAATTTTTGGCTTTTATTAATAAAGCTGCAATGAGCTTCTTATATGTTCCTTCTTGTGGACTCATTTCTAGGAGAGGAGTTGCTGGCTTGTACGGTGTGCATATGATCAGCAATAGTAGATATTGCCAGTTTTCCAAAATGTTTGTACCAATTTTCACCTCCACCAGCAGTGTAAGAGAGTTCTGGTTGACTCTTATCTTTGTCAATACTGGGTGTTGTCAGTCTTTTTAATTTTAGCCATTTTGGCTAAATGTGGTATCTCATTATAGTTTTTATTTACATTGTCTGGTGTTGAGCACCTTTCCATATGCTTATATGAACATCCTCTTCTGTGAAGTGCTTGTTCAAGTCTTTTGCCCACTTTTTAAATTGCGCTGTTTGTCTTCTTACTGATTTGTAGTTCTTTGTATAGTCTGGATATGGAGTTCTTTGTCTGATACATGATTTGCAAATATCTTTTCCAAGTCTGTGGCTTATCTTTTCAGTCTCGTACTGGTGTCTTTTGATAAACAGACATCCTTAATTTTAATGTAGTGCAATAGTTCAGTGTTTTATGATTAGTGCTTTTTGCATCGAGTTTAAGAAACCTTTGCGTACAGGGCTGGTTGGATTTTAACAGGCAAATATGAGGGAAGAGCATTGCAGAAAAGATGAGGGAGCAAACTTGACCCATAGACCCTGGGGTCAGAGAGGGAACGTGTAAGTTGTGTTGGGCATGGGGAGGCCTGGAGTTTGGGCTGTAAAGAGGGTGAAGCGAGACAAAGCTGGAAGGGTAGGAGGGAGGCATACTGAGAAGGGCTTTAACTGCAGCCTTGGAGTCTGGACATTATTCTGGAGAAAGTGGAGGCTCTGCTGGAATATTTATGAACTCAAACAGAACTTAGTTGTCTTCCTTCCACCATCAACTTTGCCCCTTCTCCTCCGCAGCCCTGTTCACTTAACACCACCTCCAGACAGCCTGGCCACCCCAGCCAGATTCCTTGGTGATATCCTCCTTCCCTATTCCTGCATTCAACTGGTCACCAAGTCTGATAGATTCTATGGTCTAAATGTCTCCAACAGTGTCCCTGCTTTTTCATGCCCAACTGCCACTACCTTTGTTCAAGAACTCACAATCTCTTATCTGGAATATATCAGTCACCTCACGGGGTTCCCTGCCTCTACTTCTCTCCACACCCAATCCATTCCTATAGCAGCTAGTGTGGTTATTCTAAAATGGCAATTATTCTTACCTCTCCACAGCTTAAAAACCCTAAATTGTTCCCTAGTGCCCTTAAGATGAAATAAAAACTCCTTTACGTGGCTTAGGCCATTTATGATTTGCTTGCTCATTCTTCCGGGCTCAACTCAAGCCTCATCTCCTCCAGAAGTCTGCCTTAAATCATCTCTCCCCAGGGCACAGTCAGGAGAGCCTTGTCTGTACCCCTAGGGTGCCTGTGGCTACTGTCTGTCATAACTGGACAGGTCTGTCTCTTCCAAGGGGCTGTGAGCTCTCCCAGGTGGGAACTTCACTGTATTTAGGTTTTTACTGGGTATAGTGCCTTGCATGTGGTTTCCAAGACCCTTGATGACCTGACTCCAGCTCTGTAGCCCTCATTTCTCACCCCTGAACCCTGGGTTCCAGCCACTCTTAGTTTCTATTCAGCATCAGTATATGCTGCACAGCGCAAGCCTCTGTGATTGTGGTCACTGTCCCCCTTTTCTTCCCCTTTTCGCCTGAAAGATGCCTGTTTTCTCTTCCCCAATATTCTCTTCTGTGTTTCCAAAGCGTTGTCATATCTCTCTCATAGCACTTAACACATTGAAGCTTTTTGAGGGCAAGAACCTTGTCTTCTCTTCATATAAACTTGTAGAATGTAACAGGTGCTAGAGAAATTTTTTGAATAAATGAGTGGGTTGATGCTAGGCTCCTTTGCATCTGTCTGTCTGATTTCTGCACTCTAATGCACAAAAGGCAAATAAGGTTCTTTTCCTCTCTTCAAGACCTGAAAGTCTGTGGTGCATACTTTAGAGAAATCAGCTTAAGCGTTCAGATATGTAGCATTTCTCAGCCATCTTCCAGGGGAGTCGGTACTTACCAAATGCAACGCCACGAATGTCATTTTGGTCACAGAACCATTGTTGGCTCAACCCATCTCTTGCTTATTATAAAACACTTTCTAAATAGAGGGAAGAACATGGTCATTGGCTTCAGAGAGCCTGGGTTCCACATCGGACTTTGCCACTTACTGCCTTTTGGATCTTTAGGTTTAGTTAACTCGCCTGAAAAATGGGAATAATATTTTAGGCCATAGACTTATTATGAGAATTCGACGAGAATACGTACAGCACCTGTCGCATGGAAAAACACTCAATAAACGGTAGTTGTTAGTAGGCTTAATATGTCCCTGGACCCCAGGGTAGCGGCAGTCGCCATAGGGAGCTCCTAGAGGTAAAGCTCGGCCAAAGGAGTGGATTTCAGGCCCAGGATGCCGATGGTTTGGGCCCCAGCACTGCCTAGGTTGCATCCTCTCCTCGGCCCCTCGCCACCGAGCTCCTAGATTATACGCCGTGCTCGGACCCTCTATGCCCGGCCCCGGCCTCACTGGAGGCCTGAGTCTGCGAACGCGGTGGGGGAACCTAGTGTGGGCGGAACTCGAGTGCAGCGGCGGGAGGCTTCCGGGGGAGCCGCAAGGGCAACGGGTCGGCGGAGGCAGAAAAGCGTCGGACGCCGGGCCGATCATGGACGCTTGACAACCTGCGGGCAGGCGCCGGGAGGCTGAGCCAGCGACCCAGAGGACGGAGAGGCGCTGAAGACAGGTA